AGGCGAAAGATATTTCTGACGGAACTCTTTGATACAACTCTACAAGAAAACAGTGACCAGCCAATGCTAAACGCATTTTTTTTCTCGCTTACCGTTAGGTTTTGTAGTTCACCAGCTGTCATGCTCTGTCCACGATAGACCGTCATTGAATCCAGGTCATTGGATCGCAACATTTCCATGTAGTCCTGATGCAATAAAGACAATTGCTGCTCGAGCTGTTTGATGAAAAATCGGAATTTAAAAATTTCGTCGATATTCTCTGTTCGAAAGGCTTGATTCAATAGGCGATAGAGGAAACAGTTACATGTATACCAGCGAATGCAGTAGTTCGTATTGCAGTCTATTTCAAATTGAGTTCACTGGCATCATCCTTGTATTAGGGGACATTCATGTAATAGTTCGTTTTTAGCATGATCCGAATGAGGCGTTCGCATCAGCGTTTCGATTAACAATTGTAACCATTCCAAAAAGAAGTGTTTTACCGTTTCCTTATCAGCTCCACAGTTACATGCCGAGGACTGCGCTAAGACATGAGTGAAAAGAGGTGCATTTAAATGAGGAAGACCTAGTCTACAGCGTGTATGATGAATTTCAAGGGAACGACTCTGCGCTAGAGGTGAAAAGGTTGAACATGTTGGGAATTTAGGTAACATTTAAAGTCTTTTAAACGGTGCAATTGTTTAGCATTTTCATGTTCCACTGCCGACTATCTTCACATATAAATGTTTTTTCAAGAAGAGTACGACCTCTAAGAAAAATAGAAGAATTTTTAGTAGCAGAGATTCTGGTGTTATAGGAATGGTGATTGCGATTAGAACACAGCTCGGCAAGATAAGAAGGCACTCTACAATGCATAATTTTGTCAAATAAGCACATGCGGCGTACATATAAAAGTTGTAAAATAGAGAGCCATCCAAGATCCTGAAGGATTTTACTCAGAGATGTTCCTCGCATGCACCCGAAGCAGCAAGACCTGCTTGGTACTGAAGTCGGTTCAAACGACTAATATTTGTAGTAGTTGTTCCGTCATAGATAACAAGTCCGTAGTTGATAACCCTAAGAACAAACGCATGATAGACGGAGACTAAGGTTTGATAGGGGAGTAACGGGTTCTGCATTTAAGTGGTTCTCTAGTTATCTTTCTAATCGTTGTCAGCGGGTACGAATTGGAAACTCTTATTCGAATACGATTGCTGTTCCATCCGGAGTGCCACAAGGTTCCATCC